AGTCTGACTTGAATCAACACGAGTCTCTTCTCCTTTATCTGCCAGTTTTAACATTATGCAAGGACGTATTTCATCCTGGAAAACTGCAGTGAAGCATCTGTTGATTTCATTAAAATACAAAGATTCATAGGTTATGAGGGCAGAAAGAGCCATTATGATTAATCTAGACTGATCTGCTATATAATTAATTTCTGTCTCACTATGTTTTTTAGAAAAAACAAGTTCCTGTTTTAATTTGCCAGTAGCTGAGAATACACCATAACCTGTAGTAATTTATTTCAACAGCAAATTACCCTCATGTAAAAATAAGTCATAATATTTTAAAATGTGAATTTCTCAAACTTCAGTTTCTAGCCCCCAGATCCTAGTATTCCTTTGTCATGTGGATTTAAGAGCCCTCTATTGTCAAATTCCATTTTTTGCATAGGTACTTGTAGTTTGTGATCAGATCACCCTGTAACTTCTACCTATTAAAAGGACTGAATTTGAATATAATTTGCTATGGGACATGCATTCCAGTTCTTTAATTATGTTCTCTTTTTTCATTCTTGAACTTCTGGTGTGACAAACTGCAGATATCCGAAGCTGCCTTAGTTTTTCATTGCCCAAGCCAAAGATACTGCTGTCTCTTTATTCCTGCTCAGAATTCACCTGGTGAATTCACATTCAAGGATTATTTTTAGTCTTTTGTTTATGGTGCTGAGAGTTCTGACTATAATGAGTTGTACTTGACTATATGTTAGGATTTTGATGTCCAAATGTGGCTGTAAGCAGTGTCTAAAGGCAGTCAAATAATCACAGTTGCACTTCTTCCTTAACCACAGGTATTCTTAACATTTCTCAGGGTAGACTGGGTTTTGGTTGTGTTTGCTGTTTTGTTTTTATTTAAAGAAAATGTTGAAGAACAACAAATACTTGAGTAACAGAGATTCAGATCTGGGTGAATCTGTTTCTTTGACAATAATGGACTCAGAATGCTTGTATACATTCAATACCCTTTCACCTTTCTTCTTTATGTCTTGCTTTGAAGTTGCTTTGTCAGTCTTTTTTCCAGACTTGCTCTCAGATCTACCATTACTAGTGACCAATTCCATGTAGTTTTCTCTAGTTCTTTAAAAGTCTTCTTTGTTGAGGATTTTCTGCTGTGGCCTTGGTGTAATCTATGAAATGCATGGCAGTCTGCTGTAAACCCCAGACAAACTTGGAAGTGGACTCTCTGCCTTTCCCCAAAACAGAAAGAAGTTACTATTCAAGTATCAAATACATGAAAAAGGAAGCATAACCTGTGTGTTTGGATGTCAGGGGGAAATTCTTTACAGAGAGAGTGGTGAGGTGCTGGAGCAGCTGCCCAGAGAGGTTGTGGATGCCCCATCCCTAGAGGTGTTCAAGGCCAGATTGGATGGGGCCCTGGGCAGCCTGGTCTAGCATTAAATGGGGTGGTTGGTGGCCCTGCATGTGGCAGGGGGGTTGGAGATTCATGATCCTTGAGGACCCTTCCAACCCTGGCCATTCTATGATTCTGTGTGTTGCTCAGCTTGGGAGCTGGAAGCTGCTTATGTGTATGTAAGCGTATTCCTTTTACCAACAACCTGCAGAAGTCCCTAAGAACAGATCATTGAGTCATAGCTTTGCACAGGACGTAGCTCAGCACCATATATCATCTGTAGGCCCTGTGCCACTTCTCCTTTCACATAGAGAAGATTCAAATCCAGGTACTCGTGCTATTTTTTAGTCAAATGTCCAAGTGAAGAACTGTTAACACTGCTCTATGAGAGTAATTCTCCTATGATAAAATCATTAAAGTCACTATTCATTCTGGCCTGGCATTCTTTTGCCCCCCCTAAGCAGCTCCGTAACGGGTGAAACCTTGAATGCAGCTGCACCGGAGTCACACCAGTCCTGTAAGTGCTGTGAGAAGGACTGTCTCCATTACCAATTATTCACTTTTCCAGACCATCCTTGCAGTGAGGCAAAGGGTAGACTGTACACATTCATTAAGAATACAGGAAAAGCCCTGCTAGAACTGAAGAACCATCAGCCCATTCATTCCGTATTCTGCCTCCAATAGAAGCAGTTGTAAGTGCTACTAAGAGTGAGCACATGAGCTGCCCTGGTTTTATCAGTATTCCATATCATGACATCATGTGGCAGGCTGTTGCATGCTTTTACCATTTGTACTAAATTCATTCTTTCTCCTTATCTTAACTGAGCCATTTTTGTTTTTCTTCTCCCTGAAAAGGGGATGGGTGGATGAAGGGCCAGGGAGGCCCTTCTCCTTCTTCTCTCCCTCTGCTACATGTGAAACTGTGACATGAGCATAGTTATCAGCATTACATTTTTCTTACATTCCCACAGCATACAGTCATCTGATGACGAGTAGTTAGAAGGTCTTTCCCTCTCTTTTCCTTTACAACAGTTTGTAAAACTTCCTTCCATGCTTTCTCTTGTTTCTTTTTCTGAATCTGCTGCTGCTCTCTATTTCCATGACTTCTTGTAGGAGTAGCATGTTCCAAAAGTTCTCATTGTAAATAAGTAAAAATCTACTTTAACTTGCATTTCTGAGAATACTTCTAGTTGTGTTATTGCTGTAGAGCTGTTCTATGTTCACTTTCTCCACTATTTTCTATAAGTTTTGATTACATTCCTTCTCAGTCTGAATGGGAGAGCTGTGGCATTTTATTTTTTTTTCTGGCCTGTCCTCATAGACAGCTCTTCCATGCTTTTAATTGCTCCATTCATTTTCCTTTGTACCCTCACTTCCACCATTTCCTCGAGATGCAGAGACCAGCCTGTGTGCACTGCCCTGAGCTAGTGTTTGTGGAAAGCACCAGACGTGGCCCCAACAAAAAGTATGTGCAGAAGCCCTTGCCAGTCCAGGTAGAAACCCAGAGCTACAGGGAGTAGTACACCTAACATGATTCACAAGTCTTTTCTAGATGCTGGTGTAGCCGTTGCTTGTCTCTGCTGTCTGGCTCGTGGTACTTGTTTGTCTGCCAGAGGGAGAGAAGTGCTGCAATGCACCTCCCTACTGAGCTGCTGGAAGGAGGTGTGTGGTCTGTCTAGCCAGTGTATTTGACCTGGTTAATCCATGGAATGAAACTACTACAGTTCCACAAATTGAAAATATATTTTATTCGTGTTGTGGATTATAACAGACTTGATGTTTTCAAAGTCTCTGGAAGGGCAGAGTGCTCTCATAGGAAACTGGAGCAAAATAACTAGAGCTATTGCAGGTCAATACTGTCCTCTGCTGGGAGGAACTACAATATTGTGACATGACTCCGCATGGGAACTAACATTTGGATTCTCCTTTCACTCTGATGTAGGACATTTTGCCTTTGGAACAGGGAGAACAGATGCTGTGCTGGCTGCACTGGCGAAATTCTCTGTTAGTGCTTAGCAAAATACAGAAGTTCTTCACTTGCTACAACTTTGTTGAATTGTGATTTCATTTCTTTTTTATCCTAAGGTCATCTTTAGAATCTTGTTCCCATCCTCTCTATCACATGCCTTTTAATATTTTTTGCTGATTTTTTTATCTGCCTTTCCTGTACTGTGATATTCCATAGCTTATTTCTGTTAGTTGCTAGTAGGATTATATATGTCTGATTCCAGAAAATTTCTTTTCTGATTTACTTATCCTCAATCTACTGCTGGGTTTACAGCCTAGAGTACATCAGTGAAGAATTATCTGTTTGGTCAGAAACTCCCCTTGGGCCTTCAGACTGAGTATTACAGATGCACGTCCAAATGTTACATCTGTATGTTTTTAAGCCTGTCCATACAATACCTCATGATATTTTTAGAATTAAAAATACACATCTCTTTTCCCTTCTCTTTTCTTAGTAAATTGCTGACAACTCATTCTGTTAGCATTTTGAAAGCAGAAGAAATCAAATCTGTGTTTATGTGTGTGATGCCGTACATAATAGGTAGAAAGTACTTTATACCTCCTTATAATAGCTCCTTACAAGAAATCAGAGTTTTCCGTAGTGATGCAGAACTGCTATTTGCAGAAATGCTTCTGCTTGCTATTATATGCTCGTCCAGCTTCAGGAAGCATATATATATATATATATAATATTTCAGAGTCCCTGACTCTGAAAGGATGGCATGGAGCAGAGGGACGTGCTCTTTCACATGTAGTTTAATTCTGTACCTGCGAGAAAGAGAAAGTTGGGACTTTCACCTGAGCTAGGCATGCTCAGTAGTATTTGGCTATTTGGGACTCTCCTCTCACATATTTTCCATTCATGTAGCGCTATGCAGAGTCCAGAGCTCTGGTCATCACCCCAGACTGTGTTTTAGTCCAAGCACTCCGTACATAGAGTTTTTTGTGTGTTATTCATTTATACCTATTGTAGGTTTGTGCCTGTTGTGTTTTAAGATTGCTTAGTAAGATAAATTTCTCTCTCCCTCTCTCCTTCCCTCTTTCTCTCTCTCTCTCTCTCTCTCTCTCGAGGAACCACAGGACAATCACCAGTAGTTCACAGGAACTTGGTTACTTTTTTTTTTACATCTCTCTTCTAATGGTAAAGTAGGTTTATAAGAATAATAAAAAAATGACAGTGGTGGCAGAAAGTTCCCTGCTGTGGTTAGCAGAGATGGACATAGAGGTTAAACTTTGTTATGTATTTTGTATGGACTTTATGCAAATACAACAGCATGATGCCAGACATACACTGCATTTTATATACAAAAGCTTTTACAGCTGAATGAGCCTGTGATCGAGTTAATTGTTCTCTCCGTCCTTCAGCAAGTGTTCTTCTCCTCTGCCAGATTATCTGATCTATAGTCATCACAGAATACCCATTGCTGTCATTCCTGTACACCTTCCTGGTTCTGTTCTCTGCTTCTGTCATCATGTCACATTCTTGCGTGGTCTCCCTTCAGCTCCCCCCTGCCTTTTGGGAGAAGTTTATCTCCCACGGATGAAGGTAATTGGAGTATTTGTACAGTATGCAGGATTGATGTATGATGTTTTTCTTTGTGTCTGGCAGGTTGTTTATAAGAATAATGACATTCGTCTGGAGCTGTCTCGCTTGGCACGGATTGGTGATACTAAGATGAAAATCTATGGAGAAGTGAAATTTGTATGTGAGAATGTGGCCACACTGGACCCCATCAGCTTTGAGACACCTGAGGCATATATTAGTTTGCCCAAATGGAACACCAAAAGGATGGGCTCCATATCATTTGATTTCCGAACCACCGAACCCAATGGGCTAATACTTTTCACCCATGGCAAGCCTCAGGAGAGGAAAGATGCCAGGAGCCAGAAAAACACGAAGGTAGACTTCTTTGCAGTTGAACTTCTAGATGGGAACCTCTACTTGTTGCTGGACATGGGATCTGGGACCATTAAAGTCAAAGCCACACAGAAGAAAGCCAATGATGGAGAATGGTATCATGTGGATATTCAGCGAGATGGAAGATCAGGTAAAGTGGTACTTTTTCTATAGTAGATTCATCTTTCAGTTCTAGACCTACTAGTTATGAATCACCTTCTTATAAAAACCTAGTCTTACTCTGATGACATTTGTCCAGCAAAACAAAGATGTGAATGGACAGATTTTCGTTAGATGTCTAATGTGAACTTCAGATAGAGCGTCACAGAGGGAGGCTATTAACCTTTATTCTAAATCTTCTGATACTCTGGACCTATCTTTACAATTTTGTGTGTAATTGTAATGGTGACTTCTTTGTAGGCTGTGGCAAGGTTTAAGAACCTTCTGAATTGTTATTATTTCATCCTTGTTTTGAGAAATTCTCAGTGATTTATTTTGGCTTTCTTTTAAAAAGCAACTGAAACCAAATGAGAACTTCCTGTTGTGATCTGTGTCTTCCACTGAATCTTGTGTCCTTAAAAAACAGAGGGTTTAGATTTTGTCACGAGGAAAATAGAATTAATGTGCACAATCATTGAAAAAATCATGATGACAAATTAACATTTTCATACTGTTCTGTTTCACTTAGCATCTTGGAGTTTTCAGTTAGGTTTCTTTATCGCTTGCAGCCTGTATGCCAAGTCTGTAGAAATCCTAGTCAAAATATCTAGATCAGCATTCAGTGGATTTTTTTTTTTTTTTATTTTTTCCCTCATAGCTTCTTATTTTCAAAAATGTCTTTTAGTTTATTTTAATTAATATATTTACCATGAAGTTACAAAGAGGAATTCTGTTTGTTTCTAATGCTGTGTAAATGTTAGCATGCTAACAGTGATTATGTAAGGAAACAAATAATGTAACTTCATCTTAAGAATATGTGAACAATTGTGTAAGAATTCCTTCTGGACTGGTGAGATTTTTCAAAAGAATTTTCAAAAGAGCTGAATTTCAGCCACTTCATAGCCTAGCTGTTTGAACAGGTCTTTGCCTGAAGCCACTTTTTTCCTTTGATGATGTAAGGAGTTTTTCTGTATTTCACATCATCAGACTGCACTGGGACTTAATATATGTGGTTATATATTGCTATCTCCTAAAGACATCGATAGGAACATTTTATAAAAGAAGCCTTAAATAAATAAAGAAGTTGAGCTTTGATTTCTTTAGAATAGCTAAAATTTAATTAACTTCCAAGAATAAACTCAATTACTAGCATTCAGTACTGCCTTCAGTTTTCTTTACTCGCTTGGGGACTGTCTGGTCCCTGGAAAGGCAGCTGCAGGAGGAAGAGAAATGACACTAAACTCTGCTAAAAAATTTTGTAAAATCCCACAAGAGGGACCCATGTTCATTTGTCTACAAGGCTGTGATAGATGGCATTGCTACTTTGTAGGTGAGATCATGGGACTAGCTTGTTTGTTGTCTGACAGAAAGGTTTGTGATGGCCTGGACACTGATCGGAGATAACGGATTCTGAATTGAAAGCGCTTTGCTCACCAAAATGAACATATTTGCGCATTCTTTCCTCTCTCTCTCTCTCTCTTTTTTGTTTTTAATTGCTTTTTCTGCTAACAGCTAGTTCTGGGATAATGATCCTTAGTGACTGATTTTGTGTCTTCCAGATATCCAGTTTACCGACACTGACTTTTCCATGGCATACCTCTAGGAAGCGTCAACCACGCTTATTTTGTGGTGTTCTGGTAGATGTAAGAAGGGTGTTCATGATCCCTTTTTGTTAGTCCTTGGCGTTTCTCCCTGTGTGCAGAACAGAGAATTGCTACACCTTAGAGATTTTTAATTTTTTTTGTTTTTATTTTTAAATGCATATATCTATTTTGTAGAAACTGAACTGAAATAATGAACTTAACATTCAAGTGAAATAGCTGTTTGGGTTTAATGAACTAGTCCTCTAAATGTTGGGATTCTTATTTCGAAGGCAGCCAGCCCTTTAATATATGTCATCTCCTTTACCTCTTTCCGTTTCAGAAAAGTCCAAAACTTCAGGCTCTGCTGGGCTTAGTAAAATAGCCTAAAATCCAGATATTCACTGCTGAACAGTACTAAAGCAGGAGTGCAAATGCTGGGAAAGCACAGCACTCTTATTCAAATAACCTCTGGCATCTCTGTCCCCTTAGGCTATGTGTACACTTTAGTCTGTGCTACCAGCCAGAGGAACAAAAGCTGTTTTTCTCTGTACTCTGACAGAAGCTGTCAGCATGGACACAGACGCTGTCCTGTAACCTTTCAGTCTCTGGGGAATGCTCCTACAGAGTGTCTACAAAATCTGTCACAGTTTCCAGTAGGGGAACACTGAGCATATTACATGAGACATTTTTGTTTGGTCATTGGCTACTTTAAAACAAATGGTATTCCATCCACTAAGACACTAAAAACCTTACTCGAAGCTTCTCTCTACAGTTTCATCAGCACAATGCTTTACATACCAGCTCAGACCAGTAACTGGGGTGCTAGTTTGTTTGTTCTTTAGCCCTGCATGAAATCTCTAATGGCCTTGAAAGGAAGTACATAGATGCTTTTGATTTCCCAAGTTGGGGTTTCATTTACTTCAACTCAGTCACAAACGTGGGATTCGAGGGAAGGAAAACAAATGATGTTAGCCTATCTAGCTCCTCTTTCCTAGGATCAATTCAAATTTTTTCCACCTCAGTAGCTTAAACTGAAAAGACCTGTGCAGTGGAGCTAGTATCACTTCCTTACAGAAATAATTGCAAGGTACAAATCACTGGCAGAAAGATTAGGCTGATGCTTAGGTTATTTTCTTTTACAATCTTGTTCTTTTTCTCCAGGTTTTACAATTCTCCGGTATTCTTCAGTATTTCTTCTCTTTTAGATGGTTTCTTTACCTTTCTGGTATCTCCAAGCGTTGTTTGCTTTCTCTATAGTAGCAGCTGTCTAGAGATCAACTCTCCAGTGTTGTTCCAATCCTTTGGATAGCATGTGCTCTGTATGCTGCTTTTGAGGAGTGGCAGTGGAGACATTGGAAAGGTAGCTGTGATCCTGTGGCTCTGTGACAAACTTCCTTCACAATTATAGGTGTATTGGCACATCTTCTCTTTTCTTACAGTGTAAAAGAGAAAATGTCCGCACTGCTGCAGCTAGCTTTTACAAAATGATTCATCAAATAACTCTGGTTCTCTGTCAGCCTTTAATTTGTAATGCCTCTATTACTTCTGACACTCTGCTGCCTTTTACATTATTCCTGTTTCACACACATGAAATACCTTGTCTCTTTGTTGTATGTGCTGTTGTCCAAGACAACACCCATTAAATTTGAAAAAAAAGAAGCATTAATACATATCTGCACTTTCTCACAGAGACACAAAACTAGAGCTGACTCTATTAACTAAACTCTCCCACCTTATTCTAGGTGTGTATGATAAAAATGCAATGATGTAGAATTAATCTTTAAGCCTGGATAGTCCTCTCTGAGGACAGACTGCTTTAATGACAAGGCAATTGAATGTGATGATTTATTGCTAGCATGAGTGAATTGCTAATTTTTTGCTGAGTGTCTGGTGGGCAGATGTCCTTATCACAAAAGCTGCTGAATGCTCTTCATTGGGATGTGAGAGGCCTGTGTTGAGTTTCCTGCTTTTTTTTCAGATGTCTGACCTTAAAAAAGTCACTTTGCTTCTCTGCAACTATTTCAAGTGTTCTGATTGCGTTTCTATATTGTATGTTCTGATTATTTTATGGCCTCAGTCTAGGTATGCCAGCATCTTTGCTTGCAAAATACAGAAGCCATTACAGTTTTAATAGTAAGTGTTCTTCAGAGGCAACTTTATCTTCCTCTGCTTCAAATTTCCCATTTGTAAAATTGAAGTTAAAATGCTTAACTGTCTTTGTAAAACCATAGAATGATTTACTTTGGAACAAACTTCTGGAGATTTCTAGTCCAAACTGCTGAAATATGTATGTCCTTCAGGGTTATGCCCATTTGTGTTTTGAATGTCTTCATGGCTGATGATTCGAACACCTCTCTGAGGATCCTGTTTCCAGTGTTTGATGACCTTCAAGGTGCAAAATGTTTAATTCCATAGAGTTCAAATTTTGTAGAATCATAGAATCATTTGAGTTTAAAGGGACCTCTAAAGGTCATCTGGTCCACTTCCTCTGTGATGAAAAGGGAGATCTACAGCTAGATCAGAGCCCCATCCAGCCTGACCTTGACAATCTCCAGGGACAGGACATCCACCATACCTCTGGGCAACCTGTACCAGTGCTTCACTACTCTTATCATCAAATCTTTCTCCTTATATCCGGTATGAATCTCCCCTCTTTTAGTTTTTAGTTTGAAACCATTCCCCTTGTCCTATCACAATAAACACTGCTGAAGGGTCTGTCCCCTTCTTTCTCATAGGCTTCTTTTTAGACACTTGACAAACCACTCTCAGGACTTCCCAGAGTCATCTCTTTTCCAGGCTGGACAGCCCCAGATCTTTCAGCTAGTAGGGGAGGCGTTCCATCCCTTGAAAAATTTCTGTTGGTCTTCTCTGGACATTCTCCAACAGATCTGTGTCCCTGCTGTACTGAAGACTCCACATCTAGATACAGTACTCCAAGGGAAGATCTCACCAAGACACAGTTAGAGAGGCAGGATCACCTCCCTTGAACTGCTGACCACACTCAATGTAGCTCAGGATGCAGTTGATTTTCTGGGCAGTAAGGGTATTCTGATTCTTGCAAGTTCTACCTAAGTAAAGTAGGATGTGTTATGTCCAGGAAAAAGGAACTGGATTATAAGGACTCTGGAAAAAGAATGAGGGCCTTTCCTGACTGAATGAGTTTATCAAAAAGTGAGTGAAATGTCAGGATATGGAAATGAAAAGCTGAGTGCTTTGGAAATAGACTTCACCATAGTTGTCTTTGGAAAACCTGATTATTAGATCTCATCAAAAAATACTTGCTTGACTGGAAAGATGCAATGAAAAATGAGAAAACAAGAAATCAACATACTCTTCTTTCAATAAAAAATTGAAATTTTGTGAAATTAAGCTTAAGGACCTTATTTCAAAGTGATTTGAAATAAAAGGTTCAAACTTCAGTTTTCATCAAAGCAAATTACATTGACCTAATGAAGGTGCACCTGTTTTAAGCTGATGGGGGTGATAGCAGAATCACTGCTTCTGTCTTCTTAAACATATTCCATCGGAACTGGGAAGGATGGATAAACAGTATTTGTATTTGGCATTGTACAAGTGAGACTAAAGTTCAAGGTTTTATACAAAAATAAAAAAAAAAGTAAACATTATTTAGTTAATTAAGTATAAAATTTGTTTATGGGCTTTCTAAGTTTGGAGTACAAGCGTGAGGATTGCAACTTGTGATCAGTGTCTCTTGATGTTGCAAGTGTATGCTACTGGCTCAAGTACAAGTTGTTGCCTGACATATCCTCAGGTTCTTTTTGCTCCTTACTCAGTTGGGCTGTAGCCTGTAATTACGTGTGAAATTATTCTGCTCCAGGTACAAGATTTTCTATTTATTGTTGTACATCAAACATTTCTATCAGCCCTTTTCTCTGGCTTTTAAAGGTTTTCTAGCTAGTAGTTCTGTCCTTCCTCCAGTGCATTAGCCATGCTCCTCAATTTGATGTCATCGACTGCCTTGCTAAGAGTCTATTTTGTCCCATCATCCATTTCCAGCTTTGAAGGTACCAGTGAAATGTTTTCTCTAAGAGCTATGTCACGTGAATGAATACTCTTATAATTTTTCTTCTCTGTTTGTGATACCATAAAAATCCTGTATTTTCTCAGTAAGTCTTTGCTTTGCTGGATGAGTACTATTCAATAATACTCAGTTTTTACCTTACTGTTTAGATTCTGTATTGCTATTCTAGTGACCTTGTATCACAATGTGGCACACACTTATGGAAACTCTTATGCCCTGTGATTCAAGAGAAGAAGCTGTGTGGGAGTCATCATCTCTGTTAGGAGTGTATTCATGTAGGGGAGAATATTTAGTTTTTTGTACTGCATTACTGCAAGAAAATATCTAGATTGTAAGTGACTGAGGCTATAGGTGAAAACATTGATTGGTGTTTCCTTATCCTCCTCTTTTAGGTACTATATCAGTGAATAGCAGACGCACCCCATTCACCGCTAGTGGAGAGAGTGAGATCCTAGATCTGGAGGGTGACATGTACCTGGGTGGGCTGCCAGAGAACCGGGCAGGACTCATCCTTCCCACTGAGCTCTGGACAGCAATGCTGAATTATGGCTACGTTGGCTGTATCCGAGATTTGTTCATCGACGGGCGAAGCAAGAACATCCGGCAGCTGGCAGAGGCACAGAATGCAGCAGGAGTCAAGTCCTCCTGCTCCCGCCTGAGTACCAAGCAATGTGACAGCTACCCATGTAAGAACAATGCAGTCTGCAAGGATGGCTGGAACCGCTTCATTTGTGACTGCACTGGCACTGGCTATTGGGGGAGAACATGCGAGCGAGGTAAGTTGACCTCAGTTGTGCAGAGTTGAAGGTGTGAAGATGTTTTAGAACAAAATTGGGTATTTCCATGAGACTTTTGCCCATGTTGATCTTTCCAATGCAGAGTTCCAGTCCCAACACTAGGAAAGCTCTCATCTCTGTTTCCTTCCAGTTTTCTTCTCTTGCATTTCATGAACTTACCTTCATGTGCTACTTTACTCCCTAAATCTGAAGTCCATTTCTTTGGGCTCTGGGGTCACTTCTAATACAATTTGTCTTCTAAAACAGAAAATGCTGCCATGTGTGAGAAATCTCAGGCAAATTACTGGAAAACATATCAAGTGTAAAGTGGGATTGTTGTGATTTCTATTGCATGGCATAGATGACATATCCCAGTTCGTCATGGTTTTGTGATTTTTTTTTTTTTTTTTTTTTTTTTTTTTGGTTGGTATTCCACATCATAACATCATGTAAATCAGTTGGAACTGATGTAAAGAGTCAATGTTCTGGTTCTGTGGACCACTGTATCTGGGTGTTTTGTTCTTGGATGGGGAGGGGAGGGGCGACATTCCCACAGACACAGATTTAGGGATAACTCCATGACAAAGTTTTATCTAGTCTTCCTCTTTTTTACATGTGGGATTAGGACAGATCTAATGAAGGAGTGAGTGGATGAATCTCTGCCCCTTACTGTTACTCTTTGACTAGTGATTGAAAGACTTTGGATTGGAGAAATGAGACAAGTATTGCAGGTACAGGCAGGCTTACTTATATGTTCTAGGCCACATGGAAATGAATTCAGAAATGTAAGATATCTGAGCTATATGTTTCTGAAATAGCAAGCGATTCAATTAATTGCTGCTGTTCTTATTGTGCTGGTGATGCCCTTGAAATGAAGTAACTATGTGGTTTGTTGCCCTAATCAACAATAGCAGTTAATTGCCAGTGGTCCTTAAAACAGTTGAAGCATCAAGATTGCAATCCATGCTGAGGACATAGGTCAAAATGTACTATCATAAATTTCATGTATGTTGGCTATGCCAATGTCAGCTCAGCAGTACTCTCTTATAGGCTATAGATTAGATGATTCTGGAAAACATCAGAGGTTTTATCAACGGCAGTGTTGTGAGTTGTTTTGGCCAGTTGTTGTGTAACTATGCCCTACAGAGGCATAAAAAGAAGCACTACCATCTACATTATTTCCCCTCAAAACTGTAGTTTTGCTTGCTGTTGGTCTGTACTTGGTATCAGGAGGAACCAGCTCTGTGATTCAGGTCTTTCTGGACTCTGTCTCATGTCCATCTCATGAACTTGGCTATCAGAACAGAATCCAAAGGTAACCAATAATATAAAGAGCAGAATTCATCTTATGTACTTTAAATGTTTGTATTTTCGCTTTTTGTTCCTTTTGTGATCAGTGAAATCAGGAGGTTAAAGGCATGAAACCATCAAAATCTAGAAGTGAATCTCGAGTCTGGCTTGAGATCTATAACTTAGCCATGCTCTGGCCAGCATCAGTATGAGTAAGAAAATAAGAAAGATGTGCATGACTGCATAATTACCAATGTAGAATCTTGATGTCTTAAAAAATATGTGTTAAACATTATTTAAGGTTATAAAAAATAATGATGATACAATTCAGGACAATCTGTGATGTATGCCAGAAGCCCTAATCTTGAGAAACTAATTTTTATTGTAACTAGAAACCCTCTTCATGATTTAGGCCCAATGTCAAGCAAAACATGGTTTTCATATGTGAGGTTCCTTGACAATACAGGAAGCAGCTTGTGAGTATTTGGAGACTGTATACATGAAAAAAAGTTCTGCAATTGGAATGTTTTTGATTCTAGAGTGTTTATTGTGGTGTTACATAACAGCTTCATATTGCTGTGATCAAAGTACTTGACATGAGCAAATTATTTTGGTGCACAGTGATTTTGCCTCTGTGCAAAACAACACAGATGAACAGAAGAATTGCAGGCTAGCAAAGATAATTTTCATTCTCATGGTCTGACACCCAAGGATTACTGCAAGTCACAATTTCAGCTGGCCTGTGACATAAATACTGCTTGAATGTGAAAAGTTAATGTGAAGACTGGGAAGGGAATCACAGTGGGAAATGCTGCTGTGCCAAAATGGCACTTTGCACTGTGACTAGAGAGCTGACATAATACTACAGGAGCAAGGCTGGTGTGTAAGGGTAGGAGTGAAGGAGCACATTAGCTTCTTTAATAAAGCAAACTTACTGACATACTTTTCTAGTCTCTGCTGGTGTCTGGGAAGTGCTGCAGTCCTTTGATTCCCCCAGACCGAAGAAAGGAAAGCCCAAGATTTAGGTTAAGGTTAAGGGGCAGGGAATCCTAGAATAAAGGATCTCATGTGTCTGTTATTTATCAGGAGAATCATTTATTTTGAATAAGCAAAGCACACATTTAGAATTTAGTTAGGGTAAAAAAAACACAAAAAACATATGTAGCAACTCCAGAGAGAAAAGCAGATATTCATTTGTTGGTAATGGTAATCTGTATCTCCTGCTTTCGAGATATAGAGTTATGTCGATATTGCTATATTTCTTGCACATTTTTCATGTTGCTTTATGGAAGACTGTTATACATCTAAAAAGGACTGTGAAATGAAATTGTTTGTCTCCTAGTTAGAAAAGAGGTTCACGTACTTTGTGTTAAGAGAATGCAAATACTGTATTTACTGTATTTGCTGTATTTGACCATCAGTCAAGTTTCTGAAATGTCAGAGATCCCACAATAACTACTGGAAGGGAAGAGGGGTGTGGCTGTACTCAGGGGTGGAAAAGAAGGCACGGGATGTCTCTGCTGGTTTTGCAAGTGGCATTCATTTAATTCAACTGATATTCTGATCTCTTTCTTTACATGACTTTGGTAAGCACTATAACATCAAACGAAAAAAAACACTAAACATAGAGGCTTGGCGTCGAGGACTTGTGTTAAACACCTAAGCTCCTTGTGAAGCCAAGTGAGGGAGTTAGTGTCTTCTCAGGGGAAATCCAAAGCAATTATGTGATTTGCTTGCATCCTTTTGATGATTTGCCTATCTCCTTTCTTTGGTTATGTGGAGATTCTAGTCAGATAATTCAGTACTGCTGCGCTTTGTCAGGGCTGTGCTAGGGAGGAGCTGACAGTGCCAAACTGCCAAGACTACCAAATTGACAAAAGTGAGGATGTCTTGGGGTGGGCAGACATAAAGCAAAGAAGATAGAAAAGAGGAAGACAGAGAAGACACAGTGCCTCCTCTAAGTGATGCTGAGTCCCTTGTAGTCTACTGTAGGACAAACTTTGTGAGAAATGACAAAAAGAATTCTCAAGGGTAATGAATAGCATATTTCCTTCCATTGTTGGTGAAATATCTGCTCATACAGAACCCAACAGAAATTTGGATGGCTTGCTAGTCAGTCCAGAAAAAGGGCTGAAGAGATGATGCAGACAGACAGGAGGATGGGAGAGAGAGAGGTGATTCAGCTACTGTGAAGGTTCTTCAGTGTTTTTTAGGTACTTAATATCTTCTGTGCTTTTTGGTTTCTAATTTGTTAGTATTTGACATAAGCCAGAGTATCAGGTCACAGCAGTCCTGTTAATTGCACTAAATGAAAGTGTTAAGGGCAGAAGTTGAAGTCTGTCTAATGGAACATGACGTACTTCTTTGGTGTGAGAAAAAGATTCCTCCTCACAACCCACAGAATTTTCTCAAAAAAGCCCCCAAAACCCTGGCATTAAACAAGTAGGAGGAGCAGTGTGTGTTGTATTCACGTTAGTTGTTTCCTGTAGCTGCAGTAAAAATGCCATGAACCCCAAAGTGTCCATGGATATGTTCTGCTCCTGAAAGCTCTCTGCATGTTTTCCTTCTACCTAAATGTTGTGAAACAGTGGAGGCCAAAAGCCCAAGAAGAAGGGCAAAGGCAAAATGCTACTGAACATCAGATCATTTTTAGCCAGTTAAAATTAGATGTTGTTGATCACTCTTTTTTTTTAATGCTTTTTCCTAGTTAATTGTCTTGGTTGGCCATTCTTTTATTAAGAGGTGTATAGTAATAAGATTAGCAAATGCAGGTTAGTGTGAGGTTGCTAGGTATTTAAAACTGAAAAAAAAAAAAAAAAAAAAAAGCACTGAAATTTAGATTTTAAGCCTTTGGAATTAATTGCTCAGAACTGGACATTCCATTAGTCCTCTTCAGGTGAGACAGAAAAGTCATGTTCCTGACCTCTTCTGATCTTCACCCAGTACTCATTGCAGCAGACACAGATATCCTTTTCCTGTTCTCTGAAGGCTGGAACCAGTGTCCCTTCCTGTTTGGGTCTGCTCACATATGGGTTATTAAGTCCTCAGAAAACCAGGCTTGCTCTGTGTTTTGCAACATACGGTTTGTGAACAGCAATATACCTGCTGTTGGCAATGATGATGTTGAGCATAGGCATGCATATTCTGTTTTATTATCTGCCAAATACCTTTATGGTTATGTTTGCTAAGAGCAGTTTAATGACAACAAACATCTGCCCATTATCTATGCAATAAACAGAGATGCTGTAAAATTACTGGTAATAAGAAATGCTACAAAATCATTTACTGCATGGTTTAGGTGCTACATCCTTTGCTGTCTCAAGCACAGGTAGCAGCATAGATACACATTTTTTATTTTAGTGAAGATGTTTGATGATTTCATAGTTGCAGATTCGTTTAAAAAACTTAAAATATGTTGATATTATTTAGACAGTCCAGTCCTTCTGAGTCTGCAGTGAAATGTGCTAGGTAACTGCTGGGAATAGATCTTCTTATATCCTGGGGGGTACTGGACACATTAGAAATAAAACCTTTGCTGCAGTGTTTTAATGTTTTTAATTCCAGCTGGATCTTGAATAGTTAAAGACTTGAGGAAAGACTAAACATCAGAATAATTTTTATGATTTCATGAGATAAAGTGAAAGACATTAAGGTGAAAGATGATAAAGTGAAAGATCTGGAGCTCTGATCTTAAACAAGATCTTAAGTCA